GTTATTCTATTATAGGGAAAAGACTAATTTACTACCGCCTATCGGTACGTTTGGTGTGTTGTTTAATATAGCAAGAAATTTATATACGTCTAGAATATCAATTGGAAAGTTGCCACTTTCGTTCCCACGTCTCGGACGAATTTACAGTCGGACCCGCGGCCGGTCTCCAGATTCAGTGTACATCGAATATCTCCCAAAGTACTGAACGTAGCTCGATGAAATCATGAAACTTGGTACACGTATTTATTATGGCCTGACGGTGATGTCAAGCTTGCGTGTTCCCTTGGATATGAAACGTCCGGAAAATACTTATTTACATATTGGGTGTGACCGTGTCAGTAACAATAAGGGTTTTAATTGGCTAGAATTCATACTACTAAAGCACATAAAGAAGACATGCCATTGTACATTTAAGTTTTTTTAGTTGTGGCTTGAAATGTGACTGTTGAGTACATATAGGGGCCTGAGGGATAATCGTGTGCGTATTAAATAAAATACTTAAAGAAAAACTTTTTTAAAAAACACGTTTTTCTTGTGGACTAAAAAGTAGGAAATAAATTATGGCTTGCCCCAAAAACGTGTGTTGGGCAGATTTATGATTACGTAAAACAAAAAGCACACAACACACGAATTTTGGAAATTTGATGGTGAACGTCCAGCCCGACCCATGTTTTTTGGGGCAAGCCATAATTTATTTTCTACTCCTTAGTCCACAAGAAAAACGTGTTTTTAAAAGTTTTTTTTTACGTATTTTATTTTCTCCTTTTTAGTCCATTGCGTAACAACGGACTAAAAACGGATATGCACGGACGTATGTATCGATGATACGAGGCGTCAGCGCCTGCTCGTCTATAACGTCAGCGCCGCACGTCATACTATATATATATACTATATATATATACTTTACTCAATTAATATGATTGTATCTGAAATTGTTAGGCAAAAATAGCCTGCATGCCGAATTTCAGATCTCTAGAGCAATCAGAAGTGGGCTAATTTTCGTTGTCAATGTTAACAAAAAGCAAACGCAAAGCTGAGTTAATAAAAACGTTTTAAAATACTTGCAGTGTTGGGTATATTTTGTATATTTTTTCGAAAATATGAAGAGCTTATAAGTGTCGTTCTAATTTTAATTTTGGAGTTAAATGAGAATCCCATACTAAGTGAGCCTTAATGAGGTTTACTGTGTAATGGAACGGGACTTTTTAAAAATGTTTATAAGCTACTTTAAATTTTTATTATTAATGTCCGTGTGCAGTTTGTGGAAGCAAATCATCATGTGTTTACAAAGTTAGCTACGAGTACACCGTGTTGCTGACAGCTTGCCTCAGATGCTGAGTAATGTGTCACGAGGACAAGAACTTGGTGAACGGAGGTACGATGTCTATAACTGGGTTGGGAACCTCAGTAAGCCCCCCGTAGTAGTAATTAACTTTAGTAAGTAACCTCCGATTTGAACCTTAGTAAGCCCCCCGCAATGTAGCTCTCGGTTGAGTTTTCTGACCTAACGGTTGACGCCGTAGCTTATACCTCTGTATCGTAACTCTTTGTATTACCACCCCATATCAAGATACTTTTCTCTAGACAGATTATTTCTTACTTATCCCTCACGCCTTATTCATGTGTCCCAATCCTAAGGGGCGCTTAATTTAAGAGCGCTGACATTAACTGGTTTGGGGAAAATCCGATTCTTGGAATGCTAGGATTTTCTTTCCTGATAAATTCATGTTAGCTTTCTAGTACCTTGTGGAATGCATTGCCTCATACCGGCCTTTTATTTCAGGTTTCCAAGTGAATGTGCGTGTCTGGGGAGACAAGCGGCAGTATTACTTGCTACTTGGCCAATGACTTTGAGGCCTGCTCTTAAACGGTAAGTCCACACTTGTCTTCTCGCAATCAGGTGACCATAAATGATTGACTGGGCAGCGTGGCCCAGTGATTACAGTTCAGAGAACCAGGAATGTAGCAGAGAGGCACGGGTTTGATCCCAGCTCTGTGCGCCAGTTTCTGGTCAGAATCGGCAAGGAGGCCGAGCGGTTAAGCACAGCGGAATAGTAGCAGTGAGTTGCGCGTTCGAGACCGCAAGATACAGTGAATGTTCTGCGATGTTAAGAATCGGCGACAGGCCTATGGCCTACTAAACGCTGAAACCGCTATTATTATTATTAAATAATTTTATTGATCTTTTGACTATAGTTCCAAGAAAGTTCAGATATTTGATCAGTGATCACTCTCCATGCATTATGGCATAAGGATTTTCCATACCAAACGGCATCCAGCATTTTAAACAAATTCAATCAAACGATAGTATATATGACAAGATTATGTTTTTAACTTTCAAAAATTATTCACTTATCAAAATTTGTTTATCTACCAGAGATATCATAACTTGGTGTTGAATTGTCATTCATCAGAATTAGAGTGAGTGCATACAAGAAAGTACATTGCAACGCATTTCCAAAATTGATAGAACGTTGGTGTAATGTCTATGAGAGCCTGCATTCTTAAGGACACTCGATTTACACTTCGCAGAGAGCTGGGATCGAACCCGCACCTCTCTGCTCCAATCCTAGTACTCTAAACTTTAGCCACTGGGCCACCCTGCTCTAAACTAAACTGTGCTCAGCAAACAACGAACTGCGATCAATCAGCCCAGCTCGTCAGTGGAATTGCATGAAATCTGACATGCACCACTAAACAACAGATGGAATATGACTTTTGTTACATCATTATATTGCGTAATTTTTAGCTCACATCATCTGAGGTTAGGTTTCACATAGTTTAGTTGTGTTCCAAAATTAATCGTCTTTCGATGAATGGTCGTTCTTATCATAGGCTGATTCGATGCACAGGACGGGTCGGTTGCGGGCACCACATGCACTGCATGGCTGTGGCACTAAATGTCCGAATGATGCCAAAATGTTTGTGCATTTGCAGATGACGCTAGGCCATACTATACGTAGCAGGTTGGTTTCCTGCTGGCAGATAGGTCTACTTAAATGGATTTGAAAGCCGCAAACACTCAATGATTCAACACTTGTGGGCAGAAGTGTTAAAGGGCAGGCTACATACAGTATTGGAGGAAGGAACCAAGGTGGTATTATCGAAGCAGGGCAGTGTTGGTCTCCAACAAGCGACCCTCTCGAACGGCGTTTCTCTTTCCCCTTTCAAACGGCTTTCCCTTGCAAGCTCTTCTGACGAAACGTTTTTTTTTTCAATTTCTCTACGTGGATAAAAAGGAGTCCCAGGTTAAGAGAGAACCATTTTTAACATGAATTTAGCATTATATGTACGTAGTTTATTTTCTCATTTATTCCTTGAAGTGTGACAAACAAATAGGTCTTCCATCATGCTCGTTTCCATTTGAATTAAAAACAAATGATGCGCATTTTCAATGTATGTATGGCCTAAGCATTCATGTGTATTTTTGAATGTATGGCCTAAGCATTCGTAAACATTTTGAGCCTGTGAAACTAGCTGTGTGTAGAGCAGGCCTATCCACAAAATTTCATGTTGGTCTAAATATTTTCTAAATGCAAATAAACTCACATTTACCTTCCATTGAAAAAAATGGAAATTTTTATAAGATGTTTAACGTCGCAAATGGATTTTTGCCTAGAATCACACAACACATGTCTTAAATTGCTCATAAAAGAGTCTCGTCATGTTAATGATTTTTAGTTTCTTAAATTATATTAGTCGTAGCTATAAGGTAGTGGCCTTCTCAAGTTATTCTGTTTGAGCTTATATTTCATTGCAGGTGAACCGTTTTTGTTCACTGGTTGGTCAAAACATCTTAACAAGTGTTTCCCGAACTTTGTATGTTCGACTCTTTTTTTCTTTATCATAAAATTTATCATTATCAAATATTTAAGTCCGCGCCTCCGCGGTTTAGTACCACGCTCTCGTCAGTCGTCATACTTGTATATGTTAAACTGTGACAGCAGCAAGAGCGTTATGTCAGAGATGAAGATCTTGAACTCGCCTCTCAGACTCTTGTAAAACCGTGTTATATTTTTGCAATATCGTAAGGTAGGCATTAGCATGAGCTAAACTACATGTGAATTAGGGAATAATGTTTAACTGCTGTTTCTAGGGCAAAATTTGAGCTTATTCGTGAATCGCGCGCGTGCCATCGCCGCCAAGAGTTTGCAACTTCGCGGTTCAAGAATGGCTTTCCACGGCTTGAGAAAAAGGCTTACGGCTTGAAAATTCATTATTTCGCGGCTCAAAAAATCCAGTCGCGGCTCACAGAGTAGATCTTTTCCTCCCCTGGGTGGAATGGTGGATCAAAATAATATATGAACCTTCGAAATTAGAATTCCATCCTGCGGCTAATAGGCTGATCGAGTTTGCTCACTAAGTCGAAAATTAAGCTACCTATTTAAGCAAATGTTCACAAATCACAATCAGTACAAATGAATTTTTTTTGCCTGTTCATATATCCACTGAAGCAGGTTCCATCTTGAATGGTTGTAACTAATGGCAAATGGTATTATAGTATATAATAATTAATCGAAATTATTAATCGTATATAATCGAAACTCGAAAGATGCAGCAACTCACCTGTCAACTTTCAAAGTTTGGATATCATTCTCAGCAAATCTATCTTCTTCGTCGGACGAATCAAACGCATTGGCCATAGTAATCAGCGATGGAACTTCAGTCTAGATAAAATACATACAGCCTAATATTAGCTAACAACGTAAGTCCAGTTAAAATTTTAAAATCTCGAGGAACCAATTTAGCGAAGGCAGAACCGCAAGTCCGCAACCGATTCCACTTTACTCTCGTCAGTACTTATCATTCCGCATGACCGAAGAATTTCAGCTCCTTTTAAGACACGGATGCCAAAAATCTATAAAATCATGTCTTTACAAAATTAGGAAATAGCCTAAAAACAACATAATTAGGATTATACTAGAGAACTGAGAATATTTAAACTCAATACTTACTAGATGAATTGATGAGCTAATAAGAATTATGGAAAAAAAATTCCGAAAAGTCAAGCACACAACTGCGTGCCATCATTTATTTAACTGCAACGCTAATAAATAAAGAATAATATTTTTCAGATGAAAATAACTAAAAAATCTGGGCATAAAGAATAAAAAAATGCGCATCCACACCACCCATGGGTGAACTTTACAGTTGTGAGTTTCCCCAGTTTCAAGGGCAGTTCCTAGGATGATCGTTGGTACCATATAATACAAATGTCATAAAACATTTACTTGGAAAGAATTTGGGTCATAGTGTTAACACTTCTGTAGTACAATATTATAACTAATCACCGTTCATGTATGGAAAGAATTTCTGAACGTATTTTTGACTATCATGTTAAATTTTTAAAAGTGAACACTGATAATTGATGTGTCACTGTTGAATGAATGTTTATCGACCACTTATAAATAAATAATATTGAAAACGATCATTCGCTACGCATGCACCGGCTATATTCATATAATATTTTCGGTTGGCTGTGCTATTCAATTTCAATCTCATTTCACCTCAATCGCTCCTGCCAGTCATGACCACTGATCTGCTGTTTTTGGGGCTTGGCTATCTTTGGCAATTTTCATGCTAAAAGATTGCAGTTAAATAAACTCGTGAATTACTTTTTCGGTAAATAATTTTACCGAAAAAGTAATAAAATTCCTATAATTAGGATTCAAATGCTTGCTATGGCAAATTTCTTTCCAATAAAGAGCATCAGAATTGATAACATTGATAGGTGGCGGGAGTAAGTTATGCACTTTAAGTCGACGACGTTAATGTATAAACAGTACAGCAAATGTCAGCAAGACTTCATGGTAGCTAACGTGCAGGCTAGACTTCAGCATGCAGGGTAGCTAACGTGCAGGCTAGACTTCAGCATGCAGGGACACTGATATTAAAGGATGCTTTGATTCCGTCCAACTAGCCTTTTTCTAATGGACAATTCCGTTTTATTTCAGCCAAAATAATCAACTTTCAAGTTTTCATATACAAGAAGAAGCTAAACACGTTCAATAATGCTCGCAGCTACAGTTATGCTTTGTGAAACACTACTCTATTTTCAACCGAGCTCCTTCTTGGCTGAAACCAAAGAATCTCTTCAAATTTCGATACATCGAGCTGAAATGGAAACTTGGTCGTCGGAATACAATTCTATACGTCACGTACATAAATAAATGAATTACAAGTAGCAAATCCAAATAGAATATCTGTATCAAACTCAAATCCATGGCTGGAGATCTGAGATGCGGTGCACCTCTGAACCTAGCAACGTATTCCACCCAGTATACGGCTCTTTGCAGGGGACTTTCCATCTGGTCCCTCCACATCAATGAAACTTCATGAACTTTGTCTCGGTAGCTGCGGGGGATAAAATTGTTCATGTTAGCCATGTATATGTTAGACATAAATTTGTTCATGTAAATGAAATATTGAAATTGTACACATTAGTCTCAAAATATATGATCACCAGCTCCGCGTGTGAAAAGTAATATACTAAAATTATAGAGAATTTACAAATTCAGCTTTAGATTTGACGGTGCAAAACCTTATTTTTGCACTCCAAATAAAATCTTTGAGAATAAATTCATAATATTGATTAAAATTTCACGCATTTGTGATGAATGTCTAAAAAAATATACGAATTTTACCGCATAAAAAGTCATTCATTTGCTAATACTCGACACCTCCAAAAAATACATTTCAAATTTAGAATTTCATTTATAAAAAAACGTGCTGAGTTTAAAATTTTTCGATTATTATTTTATATATTTTGCAGATTGGCATCATGCATAATTGATCTAGCATCTATTGCAGGGTGGCCCAGTGGTTACAGTTCAGAGTACCAAGATTGCAGCAGGGAGGAACGGGTTCGATCCCAGCTCTGTGCGCCAGTTTCTGGTCAGAATCGGCAAGGAGGCCGGGCATTCAAGCAAAGAAAATTTGATGTAGTGAGTTGCGAGTTCAAGCCTGCAACAAGCTGTGGACTTTCTGTAATGCTAAGATCGGCGACAGGCCTACGGCCTAATAAACACAAAAACCGCTATATTATTATTATATAATAAAGTATCTACCTGGTATTTGTTATTATTTCATGGATTGATTGATTTAGGATCTCTTCTGAAAATTTCTTCCATTCTAGTCGTATTCCCAGGCCTCTATGATGAACCATTTCAGCCATTTTATGATGGTCTCCCTGCACAGGAATGCATATCATCGGCACTCCGTAATAGACGGCCTCTTGAACACCGTTGACACCGCAGTGGCTGATGAACAGCTTCGTGTTGGCGTGGGCTGAGAACGTAGAGTTGATCAGTTAAATTTTGTAGTTGATTTACAAATTAAAATTCCCGTTTTGAACATTGTTCAACTTAATTGAATAATTTGTCATTCATTAATTCACATTCAATGATTTAATCATGAACAGTTTTCAACCCCAAATTTCATTTTGAAAGCGTTCACAGTGATTTTCAGTCGAAACTGATATTTTAAAATTTTCCCCCTACAATATGCAGAAATTTATTTCAATTTTTATAAATACGGAACTTTTAGTAATTTCCTACTGAGTATCTTGCCTAATTTTCGACGAAATAACAACCAATATTGAAAGTTGCGCAGTCGTCAATTGAAGACACATTTCATTACCTACGATAACATTTGATAATAGGTATGAGTAACAAGAATTTCAGATACAGCATACTTGGGTCAATACTTTTCATAAAGTTTACAACCAGTCCAGGTGAATTTTTCTCCTTATGAAATGTATTAGAAGGTATCCAATTGTAATGGCATCAATAAGTCCAGCAGCTACCTCAATCTTTCGTCAGTTATGGAAATATCGCGTTCCAAAGGCCGGATCCCTTGTGAATCAAGTCACGAAAAAAAATAAGAATCGGCAACAGGGCATGGGCCTATTTCTTCAGTGCCGACACTCATATTCTATTTTATTCTATAATGGCATATGAATAGGCTGTAGAATAAGCTTACCTAATATGTCACTCTGAGGTATCCAGTCCAAGAAGTGAATATTTGTTACATTTGTAAACTCCCCTGGTTCAGCGTGATACTTCATAACGATTTTGTACGGCAACTTTGAAAAGACCGAGAAGAACATTTCCTTTAACTTCTTTGGCATAGTGTTCAGACGAATGAAAGTGCCCGTGCTAAACAGGATCGTTGAAGCGTTGCCTCGAACAAAGCTGTCGATTTTCTGATGGAAAAGGATCACTTTTATTCATAAGAAAATTTTCTCTAACTACGACAAATTCTTGATTATTCCGATGAAGGTAAATGCATCTCATAGATTGAGTAACCTAATACTGCTTGGTCACTGAAGGCAATACATTAATTCAAAATGGAATTTGGTAAATGCGTTATTTGTGATAGAAACATGGGTAATTTGTTTTCACATTTTCATAATTTCACATTTGTATGCAATAGCAAACATTCTGTATCATCAGGGAACATTGCTTACAACATTACAAAGTATTTTATTCTTAAGAATTTCCAGCTAGCCGATCGTTAATATATGAAATAATGACTCTGATCGCTAATTTTGATGAGACAGTCAGACATAAGTTCAGAACTAAGCTGAGTATTAATGTTAAAAAAAGCACGCTAAATATAGCTCGTAGGCACAAAAAACGTCAATTAAAAACTTTTGTGATATAAACAACACGACTTTCCTGCAGAATCTCTTGTATTTTCATTTAATAAATAAATCGAACAAGTCAAGGAAGAGTACTCGTAAGTACTTGTACAGCGGGACAGTAGAAGCGTCCAGTAAAACATTCAAATTCTGTCACTATTTACGATGCTTTTGCCTCGTGCATAGGTGCTACTGCATGACTAGGGAAGGATCCAATAACCCTTTACAGGATGCCAGTAGTAGGATAATTACTGGCATTAAGTATTTGAAAGTTGTACTGGCCGCCACTATAGTGATACTATGTCCAAGAATTCGAAAGTTGTACTGGCGGCTACTATAGTGACACAGTGTCCAAGAATTTGAAAGTCGTACTGGCCGCCACTATAGTGACACAATGTCATAAAAATTTGAAAGTTGTACTGGTCGCCACAACAGTGAAACAATATCTTAAGCATTTGAAAGTTGTAGCTACTGGCCGCCACTATATGACACAATGTCTTAAGCATTCGAAAGTTGTACAGGCAGCCACTATAGTGACACAATGTCATACAAATTTCAAAGTTGTACTGGCCGCCACTACAGTGAAACAATATCTTAAGCATTTGAAAGTTGTACTAGCAGCCACTATAGTGACACAATGTCCAAGCATCGCATGTGTAGTTAATACCTCTGGTAGAGGACGCTCGGGTCGCAGCAGCATGCCGGCGACCATGACTTGGTTGGGCAACAGAGGAATTGGCCCGTCGAGCGAGAAGTGAGTATTTATTAGAGTAAGACTTGCATTCTTTTCCAGCTCGTACGAAGATGGCACATCAGGAAACCGCTTGGAAATCTGCACCACAACGGAAGACAGACATTAAATTTTGAAATATCGGAATGAAAAGCACACACGATTTACATGCCCTAGGGTTCGGGTCTGCCAGAGGCAAGATTGATAAATGATCCTTTAATAATTTTGACCACAAACTAATAACACAGCGCGTCAAATTCTTGTGTTTTGATGGAAATACGTTTTGGAAACACAATTGCAACAAATATACTTCTAAGTTATTTATTAACGTATTTATTTTTCTTCGCATAATACATTTGCAACAACTTGCCACTTCAGAGTCGACTTTTGATCTCAGGATAATACTCCAAATAACAGCGAACGCCAGGGTCGCGAAAAGATTTCTCAAGCGGTCCAAAGCTGAGTACGGTTGCCTGTAGTCTGTTACGGAACTCGACAGAACTGCGGGACTGTGAATGTTGCCAATGTTGGCGCTTTGCAGTGGATTCAACATCGTCGTACAGTATATTATGAAGGGACTCTCATGCAGGAATGGTGCCAGGCCCTGGAGATAAAAACTTCTGTTTGTAATATTGAAAAATATCAAATTACTTATGTCGAGGAATTTGGCAATTTTAGTGCATTAATTGATCTGTAAGAATGAATCACATAGGGTTACAAAGTTGCGAATCTATAGCACAATGATCGCTAAATTCAACTTGAAAGGTAAACGAAACTATTTCGTTTAATTATCCGTTCATAATGGTGTCAAAATAACTGCAAAAACTTCATTGGTTGAATAAAATTATTTAAAACTTAACGACACGAAACTATATAGTTTGACTTTTCGTTCACATGAACACACACACGAATATGTACTAAACAAAGGGAAACTTTGAAGCCTAGTCAACTGCCCGTTATTCAGTAACATAATGCCACCCACGTAATTGGACAAACGATATCCTCCATCTACTGCTCAAACCGATACAATTCAAGACAAGCCTCAGTTATCGACGTCTGCGTGGGGACCTCATTGAAGCATACAAGTATACATCATGGCTTATACAAGGTCCCAGAAGGATTACTAGAATTTGAAACAAGAACCAACACCAGGGGCCACGGCTATAGACTAAAAAAACTGCGTTGTAACACATCCATGCGACAACATTTCTTCTCGCTTCGAGTCACCGACATGTGGAACAGCCTCCCTGATAGCATCGTTGACGCTCCGAGTATGAACGCCTTCAAGAACAGACTAGACGATGCTATGCAGGAGCATATGTTTAGTCTTAAAATGTCTAGCAAATTACGGACCAGGCAATAAGTCCAGCAGCTATCTCAATCAATCGTCAGTTATGGAAAGATCGGGTTCCAAAGGCCGGACCCCTTGTAAATCAAGTCACGAAAAATTCAAGAATCGGTAACAGGCCATGGGCCTATTTCTTCAGTGCCGACACTTCTATTCTATTCTATTCTAAGACAATTCTCCTAGTCTAAATCTCTCAACTATTCCTCGACTGAGAGCGATTTCACATGCAACGCAGCTATAAATGTTAGACTAAAATGTAAAAAATGGAGGTATACAAAACACAACTTTCATGTAAACCCACAATTAAGGCCAAATGATCGACCACCATGAGGTCAAATTCTTTCCGCCGTCGGTAAACATCCATGAACTCCTCGGATGCGTACGCAGATTCAAAAGCAGAAGCGATCAGATTCCTCGTGTGCTCTATGTGCTTCCAGCCATCGCCAGCGGTATCAAAATATTTATACTTTTTAATGGCTTCACTGAAATCGGGGTTGTATAAATATGTGATGTTGGGATGCTGAGTAGCGAGTGAGCCGCCGATCACCGAGATCTGTAATGGAAAAACGGCAATTGGTACATTATCTATATCAAAAATTGGAAAAATAATGAGATAATAAACGTGAAATAGGAATTTTTTTACCTTTCTGCGCTCAAATAAACGATGAAATTCGAATTTCACATCCAGCGATCTACAAAAGATCTATAACGTGCTAGATAGGCGGATAAATCTAGCTTACGTCTTACTGGAGTAATTATGAGTCAATAATATGACTCAGTTTACGACCTGTTTATAGTCCACGTACTTTTTACTTCTCACCAAACATTTTCATTGGTACACGGAAAAACTCAACATAAATGAAAGTCACGCGAATAAAATGATTCACAGCACCTATATTCCAAGATCAAACAATATATTATCGGTCTTTTAGAAGGTGAAATTGATGGAAGATAAAAAATTTATATATGTTTATCTATATATATCCAGCAATAACCGGACAGAATTGGTAACATTACCGGACAAGGGTTAGAAACCCGGACAAAATCGCGTCCGGTTGCGTACTCTGCAATTAGTTTGTACTTAACAACTGGAAGCGAATATAAAATTAAAGTCCGGATAAGTGGACTTATAAATATATAATATGTATATATACTGAACGCCAGATATCCGTTAACCAACATCTGTCATCGCACCGCAATGTTATTGCAACTTCATCAACATTTCTTAGGAGTGAACCACCCACACAATTTCCCCGGTGTGCTCAAAGACAGGTTGCCATGTCGACGACATAACAGCCGAGGAAAAACACCAACGTTTGTTTGATGTTTGTTATGTCAAGTTATTTAGTGTGGACTTATAAATATATAATATGTATATATATAATATATATTATAGATAATTATAATATATATGTATTATGTTTGATAATAATTTATAATATCTACATATATAATTTCAAAATATATTACTTAGAAGGAAGCAATAATTGATTTATACCTCAAAAATAGCGATGTCCGATATCGATTTTTTTATTTCTCCCTGTTTTACAATAAAAAATGAATTTGAAGGAAATCGGATGATATGCTCACAATTTGATAATTTAAGCATACATGTAAATAATTTCTATCATAAGCCCATGCTGCTAGACTATAAAGTATTGAGTTGAAACCTTGGATAGAATTGTCGCATTTGAACGTTAGTGGTGAATGACACATGAATGCAGCACACTATACATGAACAGACAAATTCGTCATCGAAACGTGCATGGATTGAAAGTGGAACCCTGGGGTCAGACAAAAATTAAAAATATGTACGACTTTATAACTTCGTCAGCCAATCACTGACGGCTGTTCAACTTGACACATAAATCAATGACGATAAATATGCCGTTACGTGCACTACGGCTACTACAAGTACTTATTTGGCTACTGCGTGTATTCAGACCGTTAAGTTTACCAAGCCCGTTCGTGCACCTATTCCGTTCGCGACAGCTATATAAGGCCGATACGTGAACATAGGCCGATATGTGTACTTGAGCTAATACAGATTGAAAATCAAAGCTTGAATTACGAAAACAGTTTCAACGCCCTTAACAAATCAGGTTGTTTGTAAATTTTCAGCCAGAGCTTCAGCTATTGCCAGCTTCAGCTATCTTCAGCTTCAGCTATCGTACTGCTATCGCTATCAATTTATCCAGCTATAAATTTATAAACTACCGGATTTATGAGGACGTTGCAACTGTTCTGGCAATTAATTACTATGTACACATAGGCCGCTACATGTGTTTGGGCCGCTATATAGTGCACTAAGCCCGTTTGTGTACTTGCTTCGCTACGTGTTCTTTGGCCGCTACGTGTATGAAGACCTTTATATACTTGTACTTTAGACCCTACAATAAATAAAGTACTTCGGCTGCTACTTGTATTTAAGCCACTACGTGCATTTGTGACTTTGATAGTAGAGCTCCTGAGCTCCTTCAAAAAAGTTAAGAGATCGTAAGTTCATTAGCTAATCATTGACGGCCTATCGAGCAAAATCCACCAATTATGGACAAGAAAATAGAGCGTAAGTACTTACGTTCACTTAGCGAGTTTTGAAAGTATGGCTCTTGGAGCTGCTCTCACCTGATGCCCTCGGTCAGCGAGGGCTGTGGCAACCGTAAGGATTATTTTCACATGACTGGGGAAGTTCCCAGGCACCATGAACAATATTTTGTAGGACTCCTCCGACGGCGGCAGATTTACTTGTTGAACGTAGCCTTGGATTTGGGTAGCCATCATCACGATGACTGTGAGTATCAAGTTGACCTGTGACAGAAAAAATTTAATTGATGATCGGTTAATTAATAGTATTTTTAATAGACCAAGCACAATGAACAACATAATTATGCAGGTTTTCTGTTACAATTGATGCGCCTCATTATCGGAAGACTTGAAACACAAAAATTTAAAACGAAAGATTTAAAACAATGACTTGATTCCAATTTTCACTAAAAATAGAATAAGAAATAATAGCTCACCAACTATTGAAAACACACATTACCGACAGTCGATCGTGACCTCATGGTCGGTTATAATGATATCTCATTATTTCAAACGTCGGTTGCTAATCATAATTCACGATTTCAATCCTCTCTGTACGAAGTCAACGCTTAGACATCGATGACCCGATTTCCGCATTTAAATTCATTCCTAAGGTATAGGCAGGTTGGCCCAGTGGTTAAAGTGCAGAGTACTAGGATTCGAGCAGAGAGGCTCGGGTTCGATCCCAGCTCTGTGCGAAAGTTTCTGGTCAGAATCGGCGAGGAGGCCGGGCGGTTAAGCACAGCAGAATTATAGCAGTGAATTGCGAGTTCGAGACCGCAAAATGCCGTGTGTGTTCTGCGATGTTAAAAATCGGCGACAGGCCTACGGCCTACTAAACGCTGAAACCGCTAATAATTAAATGGTGAATATTGTGATTTGTAGTGTGAATATTAGGATTTAAATATGGTACTTAGAAAACCTAACGAAACTGCTAGTACAATCATGCAAGGTTGTGATATGCCGTGTGAAATACCATTAAGGTCTCAGAGGATTACTGGATTTTGAAACAAGAACCAACACCAGGGGTATCGGCTATAAACTAAAAAAACTACGTTGTAACACATCCATGCTACAACATTTCTTCTCGCTTCGAGTCACCGACATGTGGAACAGCCTCCCTGATAGCATCGTTGACGCTCCGAGTATGAACGCCTTCAAGGACAGATTAGACGAAGCTATGCAGGAGCATATGTCCAGTCTTGAAATGCCTAGCACCTTACGGACCAGGCAATAAGTCCAGCAGCTATCTCAATCAATTCGTCAGTTATGGAAAGATCGGGTTCATAAGGCTGGATCCCTTGTGGAATCAAGTCACGAGTACAAGAATCGGCAACAGGCCATGGGCCTATTTCTTCAGTGCCGACACTTCTATTATATTCTATGAACAAGAATCGGCAACAGGCCATGGGCCTATTTCTTCAGTGCCGACACTTCTATTCTATTCTATTAGAGTGAGCGAACATCGCGGTCCAGATGTGGCCAGTGGACGGAGGTTGAAAATATTATTCTTAGATCTCTAGCCATGTAATACACAAATAGCTGTAAACCTATGAACTAGAACTCATACAGAAAATTTTCTTATAGAATTATTCAAAAAACTGCTGAACACACTCACCTTCATTACTAAAGCAGAGCAAATTTAACTCATTGATTTCGTGCCGAAATTTTTACCGATTATCAATTCTGGATATGGACTGGTAATTTAAATACGCAAAACGACCAATTTCGATTGGTATGCAAATTTTTTTTATTACTGTAAAAAAATACTAATTAAAATGCATCTTGACATGAGTTGCTGAAATTAACTTGAAAGACGGTAACTTTAAATTTTCAAAATTATCTTCATTGCTTTTTCAGCAACCTTCACGCGACTCATGAAACTTTATAGCAAAGCGGTACTGAAGTTTGCTATTAAGCTTCGCGGAAAATGACCATAAAATTTAATTCAAAATTAATCTACATATATAAGCCAAAACTTCAGTTTCGTTCTCGAATGCCATCACTACACAAAAAACATGAAAGTTCAACTTTTAGTTCGTCCTTTATATTCGTTGGTGCAAAAATAAGTGAACAATCGTATGTTTCGTCCTTTATTTTAAGTTTAAAGAAAAAAAATGCTCAGAGAAGAACTAGATTCTCCCAAAGACGCCCATGCAGATCTACGAGCTCGACGTCCACCGTCCTTCCTTGGTGGAGGCTGAGGGAAAACAAACGTCGGTTAGCCCTCCATGTTGGTTATCACCAGCTCACATTTTGTCCAGCATCTTATCATCTTTAAAAAATGCTTTAAAATCGACCCAATCAAATTTTACTCAGAGCTTTGCTTCTCTGCCACAAATTTGCTGCACAAATTCGGTGTAAAAAAAGTCATGGGGACATTATCCGGTTTATAATGTCTCCGTAACTTTTTCTGAGCATTCTTGACTTTCCCAAAATTTTATTTCCATTTTAAAAGTAATTAATACACACACAAAAAGAGTGATGTTTTAACTAAATATCAAAATGTTACTGCTGCAAAATTTTCTAGAAGTTTGGAACGATTCCTGAAGACATATCAACAGTCGTCGCAAAATCCGTGACTTTTTTTTAGTATTTCTGACTTCCTAAAAATTTTATTTCCATTTTAAAAGTAATTAATACACACACAGGAAAAAAAGTGTTGTTTTAACTAAATATCAAAATGTTACTGCTGCAAAATTTTCTAGAAGTTTGGAACGATTCCTGAAGACAAATCAACAGTCGTCGCAAAAACTTATTTGCTATTTTTTTCGCCATGCACTGAGGCGCCACTTAGCAGCAGCATCTTCCAAATACGGCGTACCAAACTGTCAACCAATTCTAGCTTTAGTGACAAATCCATGGAAGCGATTTTAAAATATTACTGAGCTTCATTTCCAGCATTTTTTTCAACCAATCATTCAATCGTTCCATCAAGCATTCTTCAAGCATGTATTTCTAGCAATCATTTAGTCACATCCGCGTTAGGCTTTTTTAGCGCATTTTCTCATTTATGGAGAAAAAGGCGCTATTGTGCTCGTCATGTTCGTCCGTCCGTCTATCTGTCTGTGCGTCCGTCCGTGACTTCACGTTTTCGTCGACGAGACAATGCGCTCTCTGTCACTCACTGCAGTGATCGAGTACTGAGTTATATTTTTTTAAGGTATGGTATAGATGTCGCCTTTCATACCTTGTAATTACATATAGATCAATTTATAGATGACTTCGTGCAAGAATTCCTCTTGTGAGAAATTCAATCCTTTGTTAGAAAGTTTGTGCAAAAATTCAAACAATATAAAATAAAGTTTAAAATCAAATAAATATGTATTTTATAACTTGGCAGGATAAAGAAATTCAAAAGAATTATCAAAGCTGAATCATTTCAATATTTTTTCGAGCTACGCTGCTTCAGTTGAACGTATTTTTAGAAAGTGAAACAAAGTTCGAACATTAAATGAAGATTCTCATTAATATTAACTTGAAATCGTGTTTAGGTCAATTGTTTATTATGCACATTTACGGACAAATATTTGTTTCAAACAATTATTTTTTGGCTAATGGTATCCATCATTTCTACTTTATACGAGGAAATAAGAAGAAATCGGAGGGCAAATTTCTCAGGCCGTCTAAATACTGAGAAAAATGTGTGGGTCTGGATGACCCAGTTAGATGAGTCAACAGTGTACAAACAGCGATGCACTTTTTTTTACTCACTTCTTCCATTTGTGAGTGAATTGCTGAACTATTACGTTGGAAATTTAAATTTCAGGTATAACTCATTTATTATAGCGTCAAATCGCTTCTGACGCTACAAATGAGTCATGCCTGAAATTCGATGGCCATTAATAGGCAAGTATGAGGCAAGTGAGTAAAAAAAAACTCAGTAATCACTGTAGTGAGTGACAGAAAGCGCATTTTCTCAAAATCGACGAAAACGTGAAGTCTCAGACAGACAGACGGACAGACGGACGGACATGACGAGCACAATAGCGCCTTTTTTCCATAAATGAGAAAATGCGCTAAAAAGTGCATCACTTTTTAGACGCGGTTGCCTTATCTAAGTGGGTCATCCAGACCCACTCATTTCTCTCAGTGAAGCATATGCGCATTCATGTTCCGTCAAGTCATGCGGGCCAAATACATGGGACCAGGCTACGTAAATACTTTTTTTAAGCAAAAAATTTACAGAGAGAAGGACTGGGATGTCAACCCCACGTGTAAATTAAATCAAATGTTTTGGAAAAACTCCTTCAAATCAAACATTTGAAAAAAGTTCGGTAAAGGTTTTACCCAGACAATCGAAGAGAGACTTTGTTGTTCCCTGAATTTATTGCTGAATCATTAGCATGAAATACTGACCGTTTCAAGATGGCACTCGACTGAGCACTTGAAGTCAACGTGAGATTTCCTTTCGAAAAAATAACTCCAATGACCTAAAAATTTAAAGTGAAAGGATCAATATCGTCCAAAATAAAATGATGTTTTTAAAAAAGTGTAGACATTGTGCATATTATGAATGAGATAAAAAATAAAGCTAAAACGAGTTCGCAGTAAGAGTTCTAGTCGGAAAACAAGCACATTCAAGAATGAAAAAAGGGGTTAAATTGTTCAGTGAAATGTAGCTATTGAACAGGTTATGAAAATGATGCATATGAATATTTGTGATATTTTTTTGCGTTAGGCTAACACTTGTGCAAGAAATATCAAGTAATGCAACGAAAACATTTAATATATTTGCCATAATTTTAGTATCTAAAATAGCGGTTACTTCTGATACGTACCACAACAGAATAAATGGTTTTGTAAAAATGAAAAATATAATTCCGAGAATGAATTTAAAATTGGCCAAGTAGCAGCTGGAGCAGAGAACATTTTTTTAAATAAAATAACCTTGAGTTCAATTGCTTGGATACACAGAAAATCAATGAATTTTTGTGTAAAAAAATGTACTTTTTTACCGAGATATTATAGAGGGCCACACTGCGGGATTGTACAGCGCATACAAGCACGCAATGCTCGGACCGACCACTCAATAAAATGAATGGGACATATTGTGTATTGTATTATTATTGTGTCACTATTATTGTAAATAGTGACACACTTTCTTAACCCACAGCGCGAGCAGTTAGAGAAGTTTTGTTAGGAAACTACGGTCACACCAGTCACAGTCGTACCAGTCAGAGCCGTATCAGTCAGAGTCGTACCAGTCAGAGCCGTAAAAGTCAGAGCCGTACCAGTCAGAGACGTACCAGTCAGAGTCGTACCAGTCAGAGCCGTACCAGTCAGGGCCGTACCAGTCAGAGCCGTACCAGTCAGGGCCGTACCAGTCAGAGCCATACCAGTCAGAGCCGTACCAGTCAGAGCCGTACCAGTCAGAGCCGTACCAGTCAGAGCCGTACCAGTCAGAGCCGTACCAGTCTGAGCCGTACCAGTCTGAGCCGTACCAGTCTGAGTCGTACCAGTCAGAGCCGTACCAGTCAGAGCCGTACCAGTCAGAGCCGTACCAGTCAGAGCCGTACCAGTCTGAGCCGTACCAGTCAGAGCCGTACCAGTCAGAGCCGTACCAGTCAGAGCCGTACCAGTCAGAGCCGTACCGGTCAGAGCCGTACCGGTCAGAGCCGTACCAGTCAGAGCCGTACCAGTCAGAGCCGTACCAGTCAGAGCCGTACCAGTCTGAGCCGTACCAGTCAGAGTCGTGTCAGTTGTTTAATTTCGGTGAATATAACACACACACACACTCATTATTTTAGGAATTTGCTGTTTAAACTGTTTTAGCTATAGTTCGTTTCATCTCCTCCAGACGATTTTAAATTAAAATTGTCCTTCTAATCTTCCCAGATCATTTTCTGCATATTATCCATATTGTGGACACTAGTAGACGTTTTTTCGTCTCTATTACTCAGGAAATATATAGGTTATTGTCCAAGGCGTGCCACGTTTAAGGTACGTATGTCGCCGTGGCAGTTAACAAAACGAACCTGGGTTTTTCTCCCCCCTCCACAATGTTCCTGCAAACTTTAAAGTGACAAGAAAAAGAGAATGTTTACTCCATTGAAGCATTGCGACAGATTGTGAATAACGGTACAAAGACTTCCATATGCTAAAATGAGGCTACTGATATGTTACACCGACGCCCTCGAATACTGTCAATTGTATGTGTTTGCGGCAACATAAACTATAAATATCATGGTATAAAGTAACACAGGAATATTACTGTGTCTATCAAAAATAAAGTACTTGCAGAAGTGATTAAAACCATTAGACGATACAGTGAATGGACAAGCTTCTCTATAAACGTTATTAACGACGTACTAAGATTTATATACATGCTTCAGCTCACTGCCCGTGGCATCCGCTCCGCGAAATATAGCACCAATAAGCTACTCAGCGCCCGATTGATCGTGGGCGTTAACTAAAAATATTTTGAATGTGAATACGTGAAAATTATTATGTCCAAATAATGACACACTCTCTTTCCAACAGAAAAAGTGGGTGGCGGGCATCGCACTGATCCTACAATTTGCAGGGACAAACATGGTCAGGTTGATCGACCCACAGAGGGCAACAGGTGAATCGCTATTAGGAACATGTCTATCTCATTTCCCTGAGGTAACCCAGTCCCATCATGCAATATCTACACTCAGCCACAGATCTAGAAGCCGCACACCACGCTGGAACACCGTAATCCAGACCAGTGATACATTGCTGGCCGATCCCACAATGCATCTCGCGATTCGATGACTTGAAGTCTTCCTTTC